AAGAGATTTCTGGAAAATACATTTTTATGAAATTTAGAGGGTTTTAGAAAAATTTTCAAATTTTTTTCAATAAAAAATTCAGACATTTTACTAAAATTTAAATTCAATTACTCTGTCCCTTCTGCATCAATTTGAAAACCCACAAATATATTTTCTATCTAAAAAATACTTAAATTTTTTTTACAAAACTTAGGGTTTAAAAAAATTATTTCAATTTTTTTTTCAATAAAAAATTATTTCAATTTTTTTTTTTCAATAAAAAATTACTTCAAATATTTTCAATAAAAAATTATTTCAAAAAAAATTTTTTTTAATAAATAATCCCGAAATTTTTTTGTGTTTTTGGAAAAATATTTCAATATTTTTTTCAATAAAAAACTCAGACATTTTTCAAAAATTTAAATTCAATTACTCTCTCCTTTCTTCTTCAATTTGAAACCCCACAAATATATTTTCTACCTTAAAAATACTTAATTTTTTTTTTACGAAACTTAGGGTTTGAAAAAAATTTTTAATTTTTTTTTTTTCAATAAAAAATTATTTCAATTTTTTTATTTCAATAAAAAATTATTTCAAACATTTTTTTAAAAAATCCCGACAATTTTTTTTTTTTTGTAATTTAAATTCAATTACATTGTGATACCTCAGAATTTTTTTAAGAAACTTAGAGGTTTTTAGAAAAATATTTCATTTTTTTTCAATAGAAAATTCAGACATTTTACAAAAATTTAAATTCAATTACTCTCTCCCTTCTTCTTCAATTTGATACCCCACAAATATATTTTCTATCTGAAAAATACTTAATTTTTTTTTTACGAAACTTAGGGTTTAAAAAAATTATTTCAATTTTTTTTCAATAAAAAATTATTTCAATTTATTTTTTCAATAAAAAATTATTTCAAAAAAAAAATTTTCAATAAATAATCCCGACTTTTTTTGTGTTTTTGGAAAAATATTTCATTCTTTTTTTTTCTATAAAAAATTCAGACATTTTACAAAAATTTAAATTCAATTACTCTCTCCCTTCTTCTTCAATTTGAAACCCCACAAATATATTTTCTACCTGAAAAATACTTAATTTTTTTTTTACGAAACTTAGGGTTTAAACAAATTATTTAATTTTTTTTTTTAATAAAAAAGTATTTCATTTTTTTTATTTCAATAAGAAATTATTTCAAATACTTTTTCAATAAAAAATCCCGACATTTTTTTGTAATTTAAATTCAATTTCTTTATGATACCTCAGAATTTTTTTAAGAAACTTAGAGGTTTTTAGAACTTAGATGTTTTCAATAAAAAAAATGCAGACATTTTACTAAATTTTAAATTCAATTACTATCTCCCTTCTTCATCAATTTGAAACCGCACAAATATATTTTCCATCTGAAAAATACTTGAAATTTTCTTTACGAAACTTAGGGTTTAAAAAAATTATTTCATTTTTTTTTTCAATAAAACATTATTTAATTTTTTTTAATAAAAAAATATTTAATATTTTTTTTTCAATAAAAAAAATATGTCAATTTTTTTTTAAATAATTTCAATTTTCAATTATTTCAATCTTTTTTCAATAAAAAATTATATATCAATAAAAGATCCCGACAAATTTTTTTTGTAATTTAAATTCAATTACTTTAACGATATTTGGCCTCATATCTTCATCTCATCTTGAAACCCCACAACTTATCCTTTCTTTTTCTGATTTATCTTTGCCTCTTAAGCCAATTATCGAATTAGTTATCATTTTTTTTTTGTCTTCCAGCCTTTTTTTATTTGAGGGCGTAATTTTCACACATTTTTCTATTGTCCTTGTGTATGTGTGTTTTTTCTTTCTCTTCTTTCTCCTTATTATCCTTGCAGTTATCAGATTATTTTGTGGGCCTCTCTTTATTTGCTAACTACATTTGCCAGAAATTTTCCTTTGGCCATGAGAAAAAAAATTCCAGAGTTTATCTCTTGGCAGATCAACCTTTTTTCTGGCCTTGTCATAAAGGAAATTTTTTTTGCAAAAAAAAAATATTTTTTTCTCGTGTGATAAGAGAGGCGTCTCCTACAGATAAGGAAACAAAGGGGAAAATCTGTTACAAATAGCCAAGATAAAAAGGAAAAATAGAAAAAATGGAAGAATAGTGACATAGAAGTAATGGATTTAATTGAAATTTAATTAGGAGTGAAAACGGATGGAAAGGATTGAGGATATCATAGATTTCAGGCCTACAGGGTGAAATAACAAAAAAAAAACTACAACAAAGTCAAACGCCATAATTTTTACATGTTTTTTTTTTTGTCATAGAAGTTATTTTTAAAATAACATCTGGGGAGAATATCCCAGACAAAAAAACAAGGCAACTGATGAGGATTGGTGGCTCTTTCCGAAACCTAGGTATTCCCTGCCTTACCCCCATCATCGTTCTCCACCAATAAACAAATGTTGTTTTTATAAAAACAACAATAAAGGGATTAAGCCTGACCATTTTGCAACAACAAAATACTATGGTATCCCGAACAAATAAGACAACACTGTTCCATTTTATTTTTGAAATTTTTTTGAATGCAAACAAAAAATGTCGGAAATAGCATCAAATTCTAGAATAATTTTAGATTTGTTCGAATTGGTCACCTTTGACACGAATTATGGCCTTCAAATGGCCAATGAAACAGTCACACGCTGCCCAAATTTTGCTCTGCGGTATTTTGGCCCATTTCGGCGAAGCGCTTGCTTGAGGTGAACGACACTTTGGATTTTTTAAGGGCCAACCTTGCTTTCAAAAATACTCCAGACACCAAAATAGTCCAACGGATTGGTATTCGGAGATTTTAGTGGCCAATGTGCTCTGGAAATGAAGCGAGGAACCTTATTTTGTAACCATTCTAGGGTGGCGCGTGCTGAGTGCTGCGATGGTGCTGGATGGAGTTCTGTTGAAATATGCAAGGTCTGCGGCCAAAATATTTTCGGCCAGAATATTTTCGCGAAGTATTCGGCATTTATTCTGATGCCACGATCGATTTATACGAGCGGGGAGTGACCATCGATTGTTATGGTGGCCCACACCCATCACACCATCATCATGGCCGGCGCTTGAGTTCAGGTGGCCAACCGAAGGTGCACATTTTCAGCTGACCTCTTTGGCAAGTAAACACAATCATTTCGTTTGTTTACAAACTGCTGGACAACGAAAGTTTTCTCAGCGGAGAGAGAGAGAGAAAAAACAAAATTCGACAGTTCACCACTTTCGACCAAGCGAAGCAACTCTTTAGCTCTTTTGAGTCTATTTTCTTTCTGTTGCGGTGTAAGTTCTTGCACTTTTTGGAATTTCGAATTTCATTGGCTTTACCCCGAGCTCATTTTTCCATATTTGCCGAATGGAATATTGCGATATGTTCAGCGCACGAGCAATTTTTTTCTCCTTTTCGAACCATTTCTTCATCATCAGCTGTTTTCTTCCGTCCACTTCCTTGACGTCGGGCATCGGGTTAAGCTACCAGTATCACGATAACGAGCGATGGTACGAGACCCAAAAGATTTATTCACATTTTAATGCTAGAGTGCTCTATTTATAGCCACTTGTGGTTCTCCAGCCCAATATAAAGAAATCACACTATCACGCTTGAATTCCGAGCTGTCACTGGGCAAATTTTAACAGCTGTCGGGCGAGTGGCTTAGAAATGACAGCAGTCTGAATTTGGTTGTCTTTTTTTCATGTCACCCTGTCCTTAGGGAATCCTTTAAAATCTCCTAGAAAATACACTTCTATTGTCCTAAAATTATCTTCAAAATTGTCTACAAAAGTAGACCTTTAAAAATCTTTAAAAAAAAACTAACTGTATGGACTTTGACAAATTACCTATAACTTGTGTTTATTGTCCTTTAAAAATATCATAAAAAAATTATTTTATACTCTTCTTATAGTCCTTAAATAATCCAGCTTTAAAGTCTTTGAAAAAATCCCTTTAAATCTCTTATAGCCCTTAAATAATCCACCTTTAAAGTCTTTGAAAAAAAAATCCCTTTAATTCTTCGTTGGTCTGTCTCTCTCTTTCATAGTCCTCTCTTATAGCCCTTAAAGTTTAAGGCTTTAATAATCCACCTTTTAAGTCTTTGAAAAAATCCCTTTAAACCGTCGTTGGTCTCTCTCTCTCTCTCTCTTTCATAGTCCTCTCTTATAGCCCTTAAATAACCCACCTTTAAAGTCTTTGAAAAAATCCCTTTAAATCGTCGTTGGTGTCTCCCTCCTTCTCTCTCTCTCTCTCTCTCTCTTAAAATTTGTATTATGTCCCCAAATGAGGCAAAATATTTTTGTTTTGATTTTTTTCCCCATTTTCACAAACAAATTCAAAAAAATATTCATTTATTAAATATTTAAATTAAGTTGTCGTCAGATTGGAGACCAATTTACATTTTCGAAAAATTCCTTCAAATCCTCTTTCATAGTCCTCTCTTATAGCCCTTAAATAATCCACCTTTAAAGTCGTTGAAAAAATTCCTTTAAATCGTCGTTGAAGTCTCTCTCTCTCTATCTCTCAAAATTATTTTTTCTCTTCTAATGCGGCAAAATATTTTTGTTTTAATTTTTTTTGTTTTCCTTATTTTGACAAACAAATTTCAAACATTATTCATTTATTAAATATTTAAATTAAGTTGTCGTCAGATTGGAAACCAATTTACATTTTTTTGGGGACTATAAAATTTAAAAAAAAAACAACAACAAAAAATGCAGTGTTTGGATTTTTGTGTGTGGCACAAATGATGGGAAACTTCATCGAAAAAAATCAACAAAAAAAAACTAGCCATCATTAAATTGATATTAGGCACACACAGACGGACGAACAGGTGTATTTGAAACGGAAACCCCAAAAAAAAACTCGAGTCAAGTTCAAAGGTGTTTGATTTGAAACTTTTACCGAATGAACTTTTTTTTTTTGGTTAAAAATTCGGTAACTAATTAAGCTCTTGGTTTTAAATTAAAAAAAAAAATAAGATATTTAAACAAAAAACTTACCTTGTTCGATTTTGTAGATTTTGAAGTTGAAGATAAATGTTGGAAAATATTTCCACTTTATTTGAAATATTTTGTTAAATGTTGTTTCCCCCTTTTCAAATGAAAGTAATCCAAATGGTTTGTTTTCGTTGTTACTGTTGTTGTTGGTTTTAAATCCTTATATAATAACAGCTTTGTGGAAATGTTTTGTGTAAGTTTTGAAATATGTTTCAAAAAAAATTTATTTATTTATTTTTCGAAGTTTTTTGCACGGTTTTGCTTTGATGATTTAAGAGACGTTGAATTTGTTTGAACATTAGTTTTAATTACACCTTTCGGATGGATGATGTTATTTAAACATACATGTGTGTTTAGATGTGTGTGTGTGTATGTTTCTTATGTTTTCAAAACACATGTTTTTTTGGTTATTATTAATTGCCGCAACATTGCACTGCATTTATACACAACAAAATTCATGTAATAATTATTTTTCTTGTATTTGTTTGAATAATTTTCTTTTATTTTCTTTCTTTTTTTCTAAAACAAGGTCGTTGCAAAAAAAATTTTTTTTTTTTTGCTTCTTTGGATTTCAATTTTTTTTTTTTGCAATTTTTTCTTCTTTGGAATGTTATTGATTTTTCACGGTTTTGAACAAAGTTTTTTTTTAGTTTGCAATTTTTTTCAAGCCTTTACGCACTACCTTCCACTTCTTTCCATGTCACAATAGCCACGCATGCGCATCTGTGCCTTGTTTCAAGTCCATCGACCAGGTGTGTTATTAGCTTTGATTTTTATCGAGTTTTTCTTTATTTTGTTTTGCTTTTTCCTCTTCTTTTTTGCAATTGCAATTTGTTGTTGTTGCTGTTGTATACTTAATTTTCACGTTCGTCAATTTGCTGTCAATGTTTCAGAAAAGGCAACGCGTTTTTTTTTTTTTTTTTGCAGCAGCAGCATAAAAATCCAATTGACAATTTGATGGGGAGATTTAGTCATGCGTGACGTAAAAAAATTGTTGTTGTTTTTTAAGTTGTCTGTCAGTTGTTCTGGCTTGGCATGGATTTATATGTTGTTGTTGTTGTTATTGGTGATGATGTTACATGGCTTATTGGTAACGGCGTTGTTTTGCAAGTTCATATTTTTTCGATTTTCTTTTTTATGAAATATTTTGGTTTTTGTAATTTTTTTCACAATTCTGTAAAAGATTTTTAATAAAATAAAATTAATTTGAAATTTCCAAGTGGCCACTCAAAATTCATAATTTTTGGGAGAAATAATCGATATTAAGGGTCTAAGACATGGCTGAGCAAGTAGATGTTCCAGCGCAAGCCGACAATTTCTCTTAATTTTTTTGTTAAACAACCAACCAATCAATGCCTACGGATTATTTATCTAATTTTTTTTTTTAAATGTGCTTTAATAAAAATTTAAGACAAAATTCGTGTTGAAAAAAATGGAATTTTAATTTTCTCTTAAATAATCTCTTTTTATGCTTCTCTTTAGACCAGAGCTGAACAAACTCACATTAAGAAATTATTTGGGGAAAAATTTAAAATTATTATTTTTTTTTAATATATTTTACAATTTTTTCAACATTTTTTTAAAAAATGAATGTTGTCTAAATTAGTCTTTAAATGAAATTTTTCAAAATAATTAAATAAGTAATATATAGACATTGATTGATTAATTAATAAAAAAAATAAGAGAAATTGACCGTTTACGCTAGAACACCTTTTGTCTGAGCTATGCTCTAAAGAAGGGCCGGGAAGAGAGAAGCAATTTTGTTTTGTTTATTTTTATAAAAGATTTTCCTAAAGCCTTCTAATTGTATATAACTCTGAAACGAATTCGATAAAATTTGGTAGAGGTATTTTCGAGCTATCTATCAAAAAACTTGAAGTCGGAAAAATATATTAGCGGGAGCTATATACAAATCTGTACCTATCTTTATATAATTTGATAGAGGTATTCTCGAGCTATATCTGATGTCCGGTACCAAAGATCATTGTTGTGGTGTGCATATTACCCATGTGAGGGGCCCAAATCGGATGAAATATATATAAGGGAGCTATATCTATATCTGAACCGATTTTCCCCATATTTGAAGTACATATTTCTAGAATGAATTCTGACGGAATTGCCAAAAAACCTGAAGTCGGATAAATATATTAATGGGAGCTATATAGAAATCTATACCGATCTTTATAAAATTTGGTAGAGGTATTTTCTAGCTATATCTGATGTCCGGTACCAAAGGTCTTTGTTGTGGTGTGCATATTACTCATTTAAGGGGCTTAAAACCCCAAATCGGATGAAATATATATAAGGGAGCTATATCTGAACCGATTTTCACCAAATTTGATGTACTTGCTTCTAGACTGAATTCGGTCAGATTTTCCAAAATTCGGGTCATTTGGGTTGATATTGGTCATTTGGTGCTCAATTAACCCAAATTCGGTTGAAGATATATATGGGAGCTATATCCTAATCTGATCCGATGTCGATAAAATTTGACAGATGTATAGCTATATCTGATGTCCGGTACCAAAGATCATTGTTGTGGAGAGCATACTACGCATGTGAGGGGCTTAAAACCCCAAATAGAATAAAAAATTATCTGAACCGATTTTCACCAAATTTTATGTACTTGCTTCTAGACTGAATTCGGTCAGATGTTCCAAAATTCGAGTCATTTGGGTTGATATTGGTCATTTGGTGCTCAATTAACCTGAATTCGGTTTAAGATATATATGGGAGCTATATCCTAATCTGATCCGATGTCGATAAAATTTGACTTATGTATTTTCAAACTGTAGCTGATATCCGGTACAAAATATCATTGTTGTGGAGTGCATATTACTCATGTGAGGGGCTTAGAACCCTAAATCGGATGAAATACATATATATGGAGCTATAGCTATATCTGAACCGATTATCACCAAATTGAAAGTAGCTGCTTCTACACTAAATTTGGTCGCATGTTCCAAAATTTAGGTCATTTGGATTGATAATGGCCATTTGGCGCACAATTAAGTTAAAATCGGTTGAAGATATGTGGGGAGCCTATATCTATATCTCAACCGATTTTCACTAAATTTGATGTAGTTGCTTCTAGACTAAATTCGGTCGGATTTTCCAAAATTCAGGTCATTTGGACTGATATTGGCCATTTGGTGCATGGAAGCTGTATCTAAATTTAAACCGATTCTCACTAATTTCAATGGCGTTCGACCTTGGGCCAAATAAATATTATTTGGAAAATTTCATCTCAATCGGATAATAAATGCGATCTGCATTTTGTTCCCAGAAATACATGGACTGACTTGCATAAATTGGCTCACAAAGTGATTCTATGAAGATCATTAAAAGTTGCTATGGGATCACGATTTTCTCTGCGTGTAACAAACAAATGTGCCAAAGACATAATACCCTTACCGCTATGTGGTATAGAGTATAAAAAAATATTAAGTTTCAAAATTTTGTATTCAATGGAAATTGGTTTCCATAATTCAAAGACTTTTTCAATCAAAATTAAATACATTAATGTTTAAAACCCTTTTTTGTTTGGTATTCTTTATGTTTTAAAAAACAAAATTGGCAATTTGAAAATTAATACGAAATTTGGTAAATTGAAAATCCAACATTTTAAATTTTTTCCAGATTTTATTTATTTCCAAAATATTCGGAATGCGATTTTTTAATAATTTATATAATTCACATTCTTCATTTCAGTTTTGTCTGTTAATCACAAAGAACTAAGTTTTGAATGAATTTCAAAAATTATTTTTTGAATTGTTATTTATTTTGTATAAAAGTACACTTTTAATGAATTGAAGATTTTTTATTCCAATTGTTTTCATAAATATTTTGTTGTTGTAAAGTGGTTCAAAAATATTTCATGGTCATTATTTTATAAAAATTGGAATTATTGTTTATTTATTTTTTATATGTATTCATTTTTTAAGTTTATTATTATTATTATTATTATATTATTATTATTATTATTATTATTATTATTATTATTATTATTATTATATTATTATTATTATTATTATTTTATTATTATTATTATTATTATTATTATTATTATTATTATTATTATTATTATTATTATTATTATTATTATTATTATTATTATTATTATTATTATTATTATTATTATTATTATTATTATTATTATTATTATTATTATGTTATTGTTATTATTATTACTATTATTATTATTATTATTATTATTATTATTATTATTATTATTATTATTATTATTATTATTATTATTATTATTATTATTATTATTATTAATATTATTATTATTATTATTATTGTTATTATTATTATTATTTTTTTTTTTTTATTATTATTTATTTTTGGCGGGATATCAATACTCCAATCGTGTATATTTTTTAAATATTTTTGAGGTACTATCACAACTACCAATCATGATTTTGTTTTGTTTTTAATTATAAATTTTTCTTTTTTAATATTTTTTATTTTAAAACAGTGTTTGGCTTGTTTGTTCGGGATACCATAGTATTTTGTTTTTGCAAAAAAATAAAAAAAAAATATTTTATTATTTCACATAACATATTTCTTCATTATGTCTAAATTGCCACAATTGTTTTCAATATTCATATTTTGTTTTTCATTTTTTTTTAATTTGCATTTTTCAATCATAAAATAATATTAATAATAATTATAATAATTATTATAAAAATTATAATTATTATTATTTATTTTATTTATTTTTTTTTTTTTTGTGGAAATCACTTTGTTTCTATTTTTATTTATTATTTTTTTTTTGTTTGTATTAGAACTCTATATTTCTTCATATCACTCTTATATGAATATTATTATATATATTTTTGCATTTTTTAGGGTTTGTTTACATTTTCAAACTTAATCGCTTTTTTATTCTATTTTTGCATTGGTATTATTTTTATACACCAAAACTGTTAATAGTTTATTAATTTCTTTCGGTGTAATCTGGTACGGTAGTAGTTCGTTTCAATTTTTATCCGTATATTATAAACCGTCTCGTATATCCATCAGTAAGTGACTAACTTCAAGTATGCTAAGACAGATCCATACCACGGCCTCTAGCGCTAGTCTACCAGCAAAATGAAACACACGAAAAATGAGAGAGAGATAGAGAGGGATTAATATTCTCTACTCAAACAACACACATTTTTCACAAATACAAAAAGTACTCAAAACAAACCACTAAACACTCATAGCAGGCAGGCAAACCGATACAACGAAGTATCTCAACATTATACATTACAACAACTACTACTTCATCCACCAGCAACATTGCATCTTGTAAACAAAACGGCAAAAATAAAACAAGCGTCTGGCAACATAGTATCTCAACATACCAACAAAAAGAAATATCTCAACATTGTATCTTAGCAGCAGGCCACTCATTTTCCCCAGCAACATGGCAAGTAACTAACAACAGATGTTTATTTGTTGGCAACCGGCTTTGCGGCATTTTTCATAAAAGCAATGGAATGCCAGAGCCATATCAACTCAATAACTACACTCAAACTAAACATCTGTTGTTTATATTACTCTCCATATGTTCTCTCTCTCATACTCTACTTTTTTCTCTCACTCAAAACACCAAAAATCCAGTAAGACCACATTCCTTCATCTAGTTCTCTGTTTTCCATATTGAGACAGAGTACTAAGATTTATAACTTGTTTTATGCTTGATTGTCTCTCTCTCTCAGACACTCTCTCTCACAAAACTGTATATCGCACTCAAGTCATGTAACGCATATTAGTGTCATTACTTTTAGCAATCATAACATGTGTTTAAGATCCATTGCCGACAATTACAGAGGGGAGAGACTGTGTTTGCTGTTCATTGACCGAGTAGTAAACTCTCTCATAAGTTATATAGTTGGACTTGAAATATTTGCCAATAACGGTATATTAGAAAGAGACTTTAAATATATTAAAGGATAAAAGAGCTCCAAGGGTGGATTTATTGAAGAATTCTTCAACTTGGATTTTTTAGAGAATTTTGGGAAAGACTCTCAGGACTCTAAACGCGAATATTTTAAAACATTTTAAATGAGACTATCAGACCTCCTAAAGAATTTTTGGGAGTCTATCAAACGAGGACTTTTTACGAAATCCTAGGGGACCTCTAAACGTGGACGTTTTAAAGTTTTTTTTTGGAGAGGCTATCAGGTCTCTAAACTTGGATTTTTTAAAGAAATTTAAGATAGACTGTCAGGGCTTTAAAATCCGAATTTTTAAATAATTTTTAGGAGAAACCATCAGGAGGACTCTAAACGTGAGGTATTTTAAAGATTTTTAGCAGAGACTATCAGGATTTCAATCTTAGATTTTGTAAAAAAAATTATTTTTGGAGTGACTAACCGGTTTCCAAACGTGAATTTTTTTATGAGAGATTATGTAACTTTCAAACTTGGATTTTTCTAAAGAATTTTTAGGAGAGATTATCAGGCCTCATAACTTGGATTTTTTAAAGAATTTTTGGGAGAGAGGTCTCCAAACTGGGTTTTTTTAATGGGCGACTAACAGATTTCCACACTTGGATTTTTTAAAGAATTTTTAGGAGGACCTAACAGGTCCCTAAACATGGATTTTTTAGAAGACAATATCAGGTCTTCAAACGTGGATTTTTTAACGAATTTTTTGGAGAGAGTACGAGGCCTCTATACGTGGATTTTTTAAGAACTTTTTTGAGAGAGTAGGAGGCCCCTAAACGTGGATTTTTTTAAGAATTTTTTGGAGAGAGTAGGAGGCCTCTAAACGTGGATTTTTTAAGAATTTTTTTGGAGAGAGTAGGAGGCCTCTAAACGTGGATTTTTTTAAGATTTTTTTTGGAGAGAGTAGGAGGCCGTTGAACGTGGATCTTTTTAATAATTTTTTTGGAGAGAGTAGGAGGCCTTTGAACGTGGATCTTTTTAAGAATTTTTTGGAGATAGTAGGAGGCCCCTAAACGTAGATCTTTTTAAGAATTTTTTGGAGAGAGTAGGAGGCCCCTAAACGTAGATCTTTTTAGGAATTTTTTGAAAGAGTAGGAGACCTTTAAATGTCGATTTTTTTAAGAATTTTTTGGAGAGAGTAGGAGGCCTCTAAATGTGGATTTTTTAAAGAATTTATAGGAGAGACTATCAGGCCTCCAGACTTTAATTTTTAAGAAATATAGGAGATACTATCAGGCCTCCAGTCTTAGCTTTTTTAAGAAATCTAGCAGAGATTATCAAGACTTTAAACGTCATTAAAAAAAATTGGAGGGACTATCAGGACTTTAAACGTCATTTAAAAAAAGGGACTGCTGACGTGGATTTTTCATAGAATTTTTAGGAGGAGCTAGCGGACATCTCGATATAGATTTAAAAAAATAGAACAGACTATCAGGCCCTCAAACATGGACTTGGTAACTAACTTTAGCAGATACTATCAGACCTCTAAACATGGATTTTTACACGATTTTTAAAGGAAAGACTACTAGGCCTCTGCATGTGGCCTAGGAGACTATGAGGAGACTATCACACTTCTAAACGTTAATTCTTAAAACATTTTTAGAAGAGACTATAAGGCCTTTAAATGTGGATTTTTTTGGAGAGATTGTCAGACCTCTGGTTGTGGAATTTTTAATAATTTTCAGTGGAGTCTATCATACCTGTAAACGTGAATTTTTTGAGGAATTCTTCGGAGAGAATAACAGACCCCCAAACGAGGATTTCTTAGAAGAGATTGTTTCGCCTAACAAATTTGTTGTTTTTTTTTTTAATAATTTTAATAATTTTCTTATCTAAAAATGCAATTTCTGAGCATGTATCCCCTTAAAACGAAAATTTCAATTACACACTTTAATTTTCTCATTTCTTCTTCTTATCAACGCCGCCCACTTGATTTTAATATTCCTCCGGCACGAATTGCCCTAATTGAAGTTAATTAATCGTTGTCACACCCCCTTCGACAGAAAGTGTCGTAAATTTACATCTTTGATTGCAATTAAATGACAAATGTCAATTGAAATTTTTGTTCGCCATTCAGCCGCTTGAATGGGCCTCTGTCTCTGGACAAGTGGAATTAATAATTGAGGATGTGAGAGCGAGCCTACCCCTGTCATTGGATTATGCGACAACTAGCATGCGATGTGAAACGGAGTAATCAATTAAGTGAATGTTGTGCCAAAAAAGGTGGGGGCGAATTCATTACATGAGAGTGGATTAAGGGAAAGGAGGGAAGAATTTAAGGATGTTATTAAATTAATTAATTGAGGCACTAGCAGTGCTAAACTGATGCAACTGAATTTAAAAAAAGTAGTTGTGAGGATCGAATATCCATTTGGCATTTTATGAACATTTTGTTTATTCAAAATGTTGAACCCTTCGTGAAGAAGATTGAGAGGTATAAAAACCTGTCATTGACGTGGATTTTTTTCCAGGGTCTATTTGTCGTCGTGGATTGTTGTAACCCTATTTTTCCAGTCCTTTTTTAAATATTTTCCAAAGTACATTTATCGGCATGGATTTTTTAAAAATATTTTGTTAGTGTCCATTTACAGGGTGAGATAAAAAACTGCAACAAAGTCAAACGCCATAATTTTTACATTTTTTTTATATTTTATTAAATGAAAGCGAAAAATGTCCGAATAAGTTTAGATTTGTTTGAATTTGTCACCTTTGAATTGAAACTAATTATGGCCTTCAAACGACCAATGAAACTGTCACACGCTGCCCGAATATTGCTCTGCGGTATTTTAGCCCATGCCCTGCGAAGCGCTTGCTTGAGGTGATCGACACTTTGGTATTTTTTAAGGGCCACCCTTGCTTTCCAAAATACTCCAGACACAAAGTCCAACGGATTGGTATCCGGAGATTTCGGTGGGCATTGTGCGCTGGCAATGAAGCGAGGAACCTCAGTTTGTAACCATTCTTGGGTGGCGCGTGCTGAGTGCGATGGTGTTGAGTCCTGTTGGAATGTTCCGACATTTTTTACTTTCATTCAATAACATTTAAAAAAAAGTAAAAATTATGACTCTATTGTAACTTTTCATCTCATTTTTCAATTTTGGAAGGGTCTATTTATGAACGTGAGCTTAAAATTAAAATATTTTTCCAAGATCATCTCTTCCTGTGGATTTTTTCAAAACAATTTTCAAAGACCATTTACAATCGTGAAATTAAAAAAAAAATAAAATATTTCCCACGTCCGTCAAAGTCTTTAATTTTTAAAACATATTTTTCCAAAGTCTCTTTATATTAATCAATTGTTTTTAAAATATATTTTTTTTAAACTCTATTTATAGTCGTGGATTTTTTAAAACATTTTTTCAGAATCCATTTTCAGGCATTGATCTATTAATAATATTTTTCAAGAGTCCATTTTCAAGAGTGGATTTTTTAAAAAATATTTTTTCAGAGTTCATTTATTGGCCTGGATCTTTTAATAATCCAGAGTCCATTTATAGGCGTGGATTTTTTCAAAATATTCTTTTAGAGACCATTTATAGGTGTGAATTTTTTCAAAATATTTTTTCAGAGTCCATTCATATGCCTTGACCTGTTAACAATATTTTTCAAGAGCCCATTTTTAGGCGTGGATTTTTTAAAAAAGACCTTAGATTTTCGTGGATTTTTTTAAATATTTTTTTTTTTCAGAATTAATTTATAGGCCTGGATCTTTTATTAATCCAGAGTCCATCTATAGGCGTGGATTTTTTCAAAATATTATTTTAGAGACCATTTATAGGTGTGGATTTTTTCAAAATATTTTTTCAGAGTCCATTCATATGCCTTGACTTGTTAACAATATTTTTCAAGAGCCCATTTTTAGGCGTGGATTTTTTAAAAGAGACCTTCGATTTTCGAGGATTTTCTTTTAAATATTTTTTCAGAGTTCATTTATTGGCCTGGATCTTTTAATGATCCAGTGTCCTTTTATAGTCGGGGATTTTTTCAAAATATTATTTAAGAGACCATTTATAGGCGTGATTTTTTTAAAAACATTTTTTTTTTCAGAGTCCTTTTATAGGCCTTGATCTGTTAATAATATTTTTCAAGAGTCTATTTTTAGGCGTGG